TATCGCAAAATTACTAAGAAAAGTAATAAAAATGGCGTCTTTTGCAGACGAAATACGAAATCCACCAATCGTCTATTAGTCAGCCATTTTTAATACCACTGAATGAATGTCATGATTGGCTGACAGTCAGCTAATCAGGACGCGGAACATCGGTTGCGGTTCTCTGATATCTAGGACTCTAGCTTCAGATAGAGTCCGATATCAGAGAACCGCAACCGATGTTCCGCGTCCTGATTAGCTGACTGTCAGCCAATCATGACATTCATTCAGTGGTATTAAAAATGGCTGACTAATAGACGATTGGTGGATTTCATATCGATTACTTTTTACTAATCGACGCTCGTCATGCGTTCCTTTTCCACAATTTTTCCGTGCACATATATAATTTCAATATTTCATTCCACTGTATGTTTACAGTATCGCGATTACTTATCGTTGGATGTAACCTTTGTGTTCCTTATGAACGCTATTTTATTTCTTACTAGACATTGGCCAAACTCTCTATTATATTAAGGGTCTTTACTGTATACTGGCCTGGTTTACATCGTGCACTTGATACGCGTATCAGGTATGTACTATATATGTATCAAATTCGTATTATAAACATTTAGTATGTACGCACGATGTAAACGCTGTCGGATTATTTTGGTACGAGCGTATCAAGCAGGAGTATCGTACTAAACTGATATGGGCTTTCTACAATAAGTCATAAATCGGAAGTAAGAAACTAAAAATTGACGACTGTGATTGGTCCATTTCTAGCTTATGACTTATGATTTGTGACTTACGGCTTATTGTAGAAGGCCCAATACGCGTATCAAATGATACAAATGGCGATGTAAACGCATGAAACACATTTAATACGCGTACCAATTCTTTCACGATGTAAACCAGGCCACTATGGCTGCGTTCCAAAATTGACTGCCAATACTGAAAATCTATAGTTTACGTCACGAGCACTATAGGTTTTCAGTACTGGCAGTTAATTTTGGAACACACCCTATGTCATTGTGCATGCATCAGAAAATCTTAGGGCGGGTTCACACCTTGACGGAAAAACGGAAAGCGGAAAAGCAGTAGCCAATCAGGTAGTCGACTTTCTGTTAGTTTTGTACTATATACTACCAGCACGAATTTTGATCGGTTAACTGCTCTTCCGCTTTCCGCTTTTCCGTCAAGGTGTGAACCCTCCCTTAGGGTGCAAACCCATGCAGCGGAATAGCGTAACGCGGAACGAGAGTAGAACCAATCACGAGATTCTCTAGAAACACGGAATGCTCATTATTGGTTCTGCTCTCGTTCCGCGTTACGCTATTCCGCTGCATGGGTTTGCACCCTTACAATCTGAGATCATTGCTTCGAAAGTTTTAAAAAAAAAAAGATACATGTTCGGAAAAAACCGGACAAGTGATTGAACACTCCAAACATTACTCAGTATTCAAAGTTTAATATTAATAAATTTTTCATGATAAACAATAATATTTCAGCATTTTTCGATGATAATTTATTTCGATTATCGGAATAAACTAATTTTCCAGCGTTGAAAAGTCTTTCCGAATGCATGGAAGATGGTGGAGCACTCAAGTATTTTAGAACCAAAGTTTTGAGATTAGGATATTCTAAAACATGAGTTTTCCACCATATTAAAGGATCTTCATTTCTCGGTGATAGAGGTAGCATCAGGTATTTTGTTAATTCAGCATTGTAAATTGCAATTTTCTCAGTTCTATCACTTGGTTGGTTTTTAAACAACGTCTCGCTTGATGGATCCTCAAAATTGTTATCATTATCTGATTTTGAATTGTTTATTATGTCATCGAAGCACTTCCAGATATCATCGCGTGTTTCACTAATATTTTTTTTTTGAAAAGAACTAATATTACTTTGTGTATTATTTATATCTTCGATGACTGTATTATTCATTTCAAGCAATTCGGTAATGATCCATTGTCTGGCTTTATTTTCATCTGACAAAAACTTTGTTTTGAATCTTGGATCTAAAATGGTAGCTAGTACAAAACATTTTCGATCTTTGAATCCTATATAACGGTAAAAAATCAATTTATATTAAATAAATAACATTGTAAATTCATTGAAATAATAAATATTACAACAATACCTGTAGAATTAAACAATCGTTCTTCCATTGCTTTTTTGAGTTCTTCCTTCAACATTACTATTCCAGCATCTTTTTGTCGTTTTGAAAGATACGAATGTAGAATAATAATTGCTGGAATAACATATCCAATTGTCTCGCAATCAGAACTTAATATTTTAGTTATTTCTTCAAATGGTTGGAGAACACGTAAAACGTTTTCTACTATACTCCATTGCATAACTGTAAGAGTTGGTATATCTCTGTCCGCAGCATATGCAGTTATTGCTTGTCGTTGTTCATGAAGATTTGACAACATATAAAATGTAGAATTCCATCGTGTTGTATCATCGTAGATAAATTTATGATTTGGCAATTTCAAAGTTTTCTGGATGCTACTGAGTTTCGAGTAAGCAAGTGAAGACTGATTAAAATGTTCAATAATTTTCTGACATTTTCTTAAAATGTGAATGAACTTTTGATTTTTAAAAATACAATTATGAATTATAAGTTGTAAAGTGTGAATAACACATCCTATATTCTCTCCTAATATACCTGCAAGATACATAACATTATTAATTAAATGATAATTTAAAATTAAGAGTATATCAATTACTTCAAAAATATATTCTTTAATGAGTGCATTCAGTATTACAATCGTTCATGAGTGCTTCGTGAGTTCTTACATTTAATTAGTATATTTTATTAAATCCAAGAATATAGATCAAACAAATGTAGGAGTTCACTGAATGTTCACACTCATGTAAATGAATGATTGTAGTATTAAATGCATTCAATGTAACCTTATTAATATTAAGAAATACATACTACTTCCAATAATCATATTAGAGACATTATCTCTTAAAATCAGATGAATTTTATTAGAACTTATATGCCATTCTTCCATTATATCATTTAATATCTGATCTATATTGATACCAATATGGCTACTAGGAAGGTGTTTCACACTGAGAACATATATTTCTCTTTCCATATCATCACTTCGTATAAAATGAGCTGTTAAACTTATGAATGCCTCGTTGTTTGCTGAACAAGTCCAGATATCAGTACAGAATGATATGTATGTTGCAGTAGCTAATTTTTCACAAATACGTGTTTTTAAGGTTCCATGCAACTGTGGTATAATTTTGTCAGAAAAATATGTTCTGCAAGGTAGAGGATACTGCGGGGCTAAATATTTTATTAACCTTTCAAAACCTTTTCGCTCAACTAATGTGAATGCTTCTGCATCAAGAGCCATCATTTCACCTAAAATATACAAAAAATAAACAGTTGAAAAATATAACAGATTTATATTATAAAAGTACAGGTATTGATAACAATAAGAATGTAGAAGAATGTAGTAATATAATAAATTCTTTTTATTAAATAAATATGATTGCATATTTGTATTATAATGACAATAAATTAATTTTAAGAATTTTTTTCTCAAAAAGAATACTATTGCATTTTAATTTAATAAATCTTACAATGCTTATACTATGACTTGACATTATACTTACAAATTAGCAGGGAATGGAAAGTTACTTTTTAAAAATAACTAGTTACAGTTACTCGTTACCGAGTAAAAAATGTAACTAGTTACAGTTACAGTTATCGCTTTTTAAAAGTAACTCGTTACAGTTACCGTTACTTGAAAAATAACTTTTCGTTACTTTTCCGTTACTTTTTTAAAATCAATTTAAAAATGTACTTTTGCATTTTTTTTATATATATAATACTGACAAATATATAGTTTTATTTAAAAAAAAAAAAACAATGTAGAATGGCTCAAATAATAAATTAAATAAAAGTAAAATGAGAAGGGTTACGAGCCAAAAATGAAACAGTTTATTTCCGATAAGAACGACGATGACAATGTAATTAAATGTATAAATATATATTAGAACAATACATAGATAAAACAAGATAAAAACAAACGACGTTTCGACACTTATTGTCATCGTCTTTTAAACTGTTTCGCTTTTGGGTTCATAGCCCTTCTCATTTTACTATTATTTAATTTATTTTTTAATTTTTTTTAAACACAATTTTGTAATTCTAAAACCTGTAAAATATGCAGCAAACTGAAATATTTGTATGTCCTATGTATTACATAGAAGATAGAAGTGTAAAATAATTACTGAATCATAACGGCCGAATGTCTAAGGGCTTTCAAGTCTTATTGATAAGCGCTATAAATAGCATGTATCCAATCGAACCGTGTTCAATCGTGTGCAAAGTAACGACAAAAGTAACTGTAAATTTCGTTACCGTTACCCAAAAAATGTAACTTGTTACCGTTACAGTTACCAAAAAAAGAAAGTAACGCAGTTACCAGTAAAGTTACCAAAAAAGTAACTTGTAACTGTAACTTCGTTACAAGTAACGAGTTACTTCCATTCCCTGCAAATTAGTATAAACATTTATTAATATAAAATATATAATGATTCTTTAAAATATAAAAATAAAACATACCAATCCTTTTAGTTATGTTGATTGATCTTGAATCATCCAAAGACCACATTTCTTCTTCCTTAATTATATATTGTAAAGTAGATTGAGTCTCACAAGATACAAAATTTTTAGAATTTTCTTCTGTATGAAGAAAGACACATGGTTCTGATATAAAGATCTTACAAGGTTCTGTGGTTATTGTAGACAAAAGATCACAAGATTTTGATGTTATTGTTGTAGATAAAGGATCAGAAATTGGATAGTCATCTACTTCAATTTTAATATTCTTACTGACATTTATTTCCCCATCTAAGGTTTTCATTGTCAATGGATGTTTACTTTTCAAATGATTCCATAAGGGTTTAGTGGAGAATAATTTCCGTGATTTTCCTCTTACAATTTGCTTTCGTGATGTAGTTTCGCAAAGGATACAGTCAGCTTTTCTTTCATCATCACTACAAATTTTAAAAAAATTCCATACGTTGGATTTTCTTTGTGCCATTGTATTTTATAATTTAATTTGTAACCATTAAAATGTAAATCTTTTTACGGCGTTCGGTAGGACGCTTTCGGCACTTCCTTCTTTTACATCTTTCACATCTAATGAAGGATAAACAAAATGTGATAATTATAATCGCAAAGTTCTGAAACTCAATACTTAGGTACAAAATGAACTTTAAAACTGTTATATTATTCAATGACAGTCGATTGTTGTTAATCGTCACACGCTTGTAATACTGTGATGTGACGGTTGTGCAGCTTATGTCTGTTTATGTCTTCTTCTTCTATATATTATTGACTCAGGTCCTCATCAACGAGGTAAGCTTGGCCAGACGTAGTGTCACCACTGACAAGATAGCAAACAAATTGAATATTTTTAATTTATTTATGTGTACATATGTAATTTGGGAATCGTTTGGGGAAATTTGGGAAAAGCTTTTAAACATTTGAGTAATAGTATCTATTTTTCTTGTTATTAACTCTCATGCGACAAGTTAGCAGACAGCGATTTTATTTAATGAATTTTATGAATGGAATCGATCGAAAATTATTTGGGGAAAACGTCTTCATTATTATTTTCATTTGGGAAAAATCGCTATTTTGTAATTCAATAGATTTACACATTGCGAAAACGAACAAAGCTCGAGTGTAGTGGGTAGTAAGTGTAGTACAAAAAGGTGTAGTAAAGCGAAAATCGTTAAAAATTAACTTTACAATTAGACCCGATCTTCAAGTAGGGTGTCTTTGCACGAAATTTGAAATTAACACTGCAAAACAAATATATTGTTGTCAGACACGAAATTCTATACCTTTCCCTGTTCAGAAACGTTGAACTTTCCACGCGAAGTAACTTTTACCTCCCCCCCCTGCACAAGGGCACGCGACTTTCACGATTGTACTGTTGCTGAGATCATGGTGGAGTATACATGGTGTGCTCAATACTTAGGCCGGTATTCATAGTCAGTTCCTTATTTGAAGACTGTCTTAAGTAATGTCTTAAGATGCTAAAGCGGCCCTCTGATTGGTTCGTAACTCTTCAAGACTGAACTTAAGACGGTCTTGAATATAAGAACTGACTATGAATACCGACCTTAGTGACTTTTCAGTTTCTGATCTGAAAACCCATGGAGAAGCTGAATTGTGCCAACCCGTTGAAAAAAAAAATGAAAAGTAATGTTGGCAAACTTGTTTATATACTCGTCCTTGTCACACCCTAGGCAATAGAGGAAGACATACCTATATACAGTACGTATATGAAGCGGAGCAAGTGAATGCGATACGTATTATTGTACGAATATATATTATTTATAACATTAAAATAGTGCGTTGCGTGGTTAAAGTTTGCAGAAACAATAGTGATCAGTAAAGACCGATTATAGGTCTTTAGTGATCAGTGCCGTGAAGATGTAAGTTTAAAATATATTTATGTACATTTATGCAATTCTGTGTGCAAAGTGTGCCTTCGCGCACTAATTTTAACGTCGAGAAGTTCATTTTATGGGGTTGGTATGCGCGAAGTAGTTAGTTGTGCGCGAAGGCACCTCGCTCACCGAACCGCATAATAGTATATTATGCAATAAGTGCGCAAAGATAACTTTACCGCACTAGTGGCGAACGCTGCGCACGAGTCGCCGCAGGCGACGAGTGCGCTTGCGTTCGATGTAAGTGCGGTAACGTCGTGCACGAATTGCTTACGATATTTTATGCGGTTCGGTGAGCGAGGTGCCTTCGCGCACGACTAACTACTTCGCGCATACTAACCCCGTAAAATGAACTTCTCGACGTTAAAATTAGTGCGCGAAGGCACACTTTGCGCATAGAATTGCATAAAATATCGTAAGCAATTCGTGCGCGACGTTACTGCACTTACATCGAACGCAAGCGCACTCGTCGCCTGCGGCGACTCGTGCGCAGCGTTCGCCGCTAGTGCGGTAAAGTTATCTTCGCGCACTTATTGCATAATATACTATTATGTCTTTAAAATACATTTATGTAATTTGTATACAAAATAGAAGTTTCCTATTCACTGAATGTGCCTAGAATTCTTGAAAAGTGTAATTAAATAAAAACTTCAGCGACAAAAGTTTTTATGCATTTTATGCACCACAGGCGAATCACAAGTTTAAAATTTTTATTTCATTATGCCTTTAATGAATTTTAAGCACCATTAGTGAATATGACTCATATTTTCTTGCACAAATAATATTTATGTATTTTGGAGAGGCGTGATAAGTTTCCAACATACAATCTTGCAACGGCGTAAGTATTAATGTGTTTTAGGGTCCGCTGGGGAATCACAAGCTTGAAATTTTTATATGTAATTACACTTTTAATGAATTTTAGGCATCTTTAGTGAATGACAACCTTACATTCTGTTGCACAAGTAATATTAATGTATTTTAGAGAGCCCTAGTAATTTTCAAACTTGAAAATTTGCAACGACATACGTATTAATGCATATTACAAACCGCTGGCGAGTCACAACTTTGAAATTTTTATTCCATTACACTTTTCATGAATTTTCGGGACCACTACTTGACAATATCAAACTTATGTTTTTTTGCACGAATAATATTAATGTATTTTAAGGGATCCTTAGTGAGTGTCGAACGCTAAATTTTGCAATGACAAAAGTTTCCAAGTATTTCATGAACCGCTGGAGAATTTGAAATATCGGCCCAAACAGCCAGGATGATTTCGTGGACTTTGAAGTTGTACTGTATTGATAATTTCAATTTCAGATTGAATATTTCTTCCGGGTTACAGTTCTACAATATTTTAGAGACCCCTCGTGAGTTTCAAGTTTAAAACTACTTGCGAAGAAAGATTTAATGTATTTTACAGGCCGGTAAAGAATATCAAAATAATTACTTTTCGACAAGCAAAGTTTTAATATAATTTACAGGCAATTAAAGGATATCAAACTAAAAACTTTTTGACTATGAAATAATATGTTTTGGAGACCGAAGGTAAATTTCAAACTTACAGCTGTTTTCTGAGTAAAGTCGACTTACAGAGTTGCATAAGAAAGATTGGTCTAGCCGTCCAGGATCATTTCTGGTAGCAACTCCACTTGGCTTCAAGGAGGCAACCAGAAAGTCAGCCACCTCGGAATAAATGTCGACAATT